AGTTCTTTTTGGAATATTCTTATGAAAGCATTGGAACCTGAATTCCATGTGAACCGAATTGTGCACAATGACAATAAATCGATCTTGCAATTCGACGTATCCTTTAAAAAAAAACCTAGCTTTTTCAATTTTTCTCTTTCTTGTGGTTAAATTTTCCCTAACACCGAAGAAGTTTGCACTTTCTTTAATTTCATTATACACATAGGCCTAGTACACTCTTTTAAATGGAAGTGGTTATACAGATACTGTAAAATACTTACACCACTACCGACAGCCCATCCATATATCATACGTCTACAACTCCAAAGGTCAGGAGGCATATTATTAACCGTTCCCTTTTAGTGTCTTTGAAAAATCAGTTTTACAACATATCAATTAATGTTTTCCCTCCGGAGTCTGGCTCTAAAGCAGGTTATGAGTATAGAGCCTTACGTCATTCTTAATAGGCGGCCCGCTGGCCAAATTTGGCCCTCGGAGGAAATTATTCTGGCCCGCGAGAAAAAAAATGAAATTATAAGAAAACATATTTCAAGAAACTAAAAGTAATAACCATTCGATGAACATTTTTTTTTAAATAAAGTGAAGGCAAAAACACAACACTGGGCCAATATGAAGTAGGGGGTGACCCCAGACAGATCTAGAATTAAATCCGTTACCAACCAATCGACAAACGCCAAAATATTTATAGTCTTGATTCAGCTAAATATGACATCAGATTTAAGATAAAATCTTTATTACAGACTTGTTTTTATTATAAGTAGACCGGAGATTTTACAGGCAAAGTTTTTTAGGTTTTTAATCCCTGGTATTTGGTAGATATAGAATAGTTGAAATTACACAGAAGATACCGATTGTGTGCCAAACTATTAAGTTGAACAAACTTTGTATGACTGATAAAACAAGTATCGAAATGCACTATTTCGACATTAGTTATGCCATCAACAAATTACTGTGTTTTTGTTACTATTATGCCTGTAAATTCAAGCTTGGTTTAAAAATACTCCTACAAAATTAGTCTTACGAGAGAGGTGTTATTGTATGGAGTCAATATAATAGAAAAAATATATAGTTTTACTTTGTTAAAATAAACACGATTCAGGAAACAATACTTCACACACAGTCACACTTGCAAAAAGAAAGGAAGTTTTTTTACCTGCCACCAAAAACGTTCAACGTCCGGCGAACATGCAAAATATTTTGACGACTCTAACTTGGGTAGCGAACGATAGTTTGAATACCAGGGCTTAACAACACCAAAATGAACGGACAATTAAATTAGAATTCTGTTAAATACGGCCTCAAAATACTACTTTGTCGGAGTTTCTCGGCCTCGCAGGGTCAGCCCACTTCCCACATTCTAAAATCCGTTTCACAGAATATGATGCTGTAAGATAGATTGCGGGCCTTAAACATTTAACATCACTAAATTGTTTGAGCTTCCGGGGGAAGATCGTTCCTCTCCTGCCATTGGGCAAATATTAGCGCCACAATAGACTAGAACTTTACATTGCCAAACAGGGGGCTTCGGTCACAGCATCTCAGAATATTCTTTAAGTCCATAAAGTATAGTAATTTACTTGAAACTCGGAGATTTTCTTTGGCCCGTGATATCAAATCTAAAAAAATAATAATTTGGCCCTTCAAATAAATTAATTAAGAAACACGGATATAGAGTGTAAGGATAGGAAACCTTTGAGTCGCACGTGGCAAAAAGTGAACAGAACAGTGAGAATATGTTTCATTTCAAAATGTTTCATTGCCTGCATACAAAATCAGGGCAGTCAGACCACTATACTCTTTATAAATAATAATAACAGGACATTTATAAGAATCTATTTAATCCTTAATAGGAAAGGATAAGATAGGAGTATTTTTGGTGTGAACCCACCAACTAAGTCTAAAGACTGTTTTCAGTAGGGTCCATCTGGTGGTGAATAGAGCAGTGGACCGGGAGACTACCGCTTTCCAAAAAAGTGTACTGCGTTCTTTAATTAGCCATATTGCAGGATCAACGTTGGTTGGAATCGCATGGGCATATTTAATAGGATCTCCACAGGATGCATGTCCACTCACAGTGGCTACCACAGCATTAGGCGACAGAGCTAAGCTTCTCTCTCACTGTGATAGAGTGTATTATTATTATTATTATTATTATTATTATTATTATTATTATTATTATTATTATTATTATTATTATTATTATTTATTATTATTGGTGAGGTGGACGGACAGAAAAAGCAGAAATCACAAGCGATCTTAATGTGTGAGAGTTCGTTTTATTGAACACCATTCAATTCTGTGAAGATTGAATAAACATAGACAGTAGATATTAAAATCACTACACATCAGTTGAATCTCTCATAAAATACAAATAAAATATATAAATTATTAAATTAATAAATGATAACATATTTACTCAACAGTCAATGATTCCAACATTGTGTAAAATACAGTTAATCTGTGTGATTAATTAAAATCATGGCTTGTATAACATGGTATAGTTCAGTAATTAATCAGTACGGTAATTATTCATGAATAATTTCTTACAGTGGTAATGTTAATCTTAATCATTGTAACCAGTACACTATTATTAATCTAAACATACAAACATACACAAAGCATGTAAAAACTTACTACTTTGACCGGATGTGATTACACCATTTAACAAGTAAACCTCATGATATCATCAGTTGTCATAGCATACATGTAATCTGTATGTTGGATGGTATATCCAAAAACATATATGTATATAGAATTAACATAAAACTTTAAAACAGCAGAATATACAGATTTTCTATCAGTTAGAAAACATCAATGCAAGCTACCTGCTAGCCATGTTGGATCCACAAAGCTTCAATGAACCAAGCAATGGAGCACGCCCTCAATAATAGTCATGAATAAATATAGTTTCGCATGAAACAATTATTATTATTATTATTATTATTATTATTATTATTATTATTATTATTATTATTATTGTCTCTAAATTAAACTTTGTTGTTGGTGGCTCTGTACATAATGAGAATATGAAAAATAATAAGGGACTTGGGGTTACGTCTCTCTAAATTAACTTGCTCTTTGGTGGTGCTCTCCAGATATAAGACTGACATACTGTAAGCTTCTAGTTATTGAAATTATACTGAAACCATCTCATTACGAGTGAAAGAGGAAATACATCGTAAGCTGTGGAGACCATATAGCATATAGCTTTAATACCGTTCATGTAGTCTTAGCAGTGTGCCATAGGTCTTTTGCTGAAAAAGGACCTTAAAACGTCTGCAAACCGTTGAAAACTATTTTTGTCAATCTGTGATTTACTGAATGTGATCAGGGACGTATCCAGGGGGGGGGGAGCCGTGAGAGCCGCGGCTCCCCCCCCCCCCCTTTGTACACAATGTTAAAATTTTACAGCTTATTCTTGAGCCAATACAAATTCTTTCCTGGAATCACTCAAAATGAATAGTTCTACTAAAACATGTAAATATGCATCAATACACGTTATACATAGGCCTAATAGAACACATAGGCCTAAGCGTGATTTTAAAAAATCTTAAATCCATAAATTTCAGGCCAGGTCTTTTAAGATAGAAATGCGGTACTGTGGTTCAATTTCGTTTTTATCTTTTTCCAAGTTTCTTTAAATTTTTGTTTAATAATACTACTACTAATAGTAATAATAATAATAACAATGATGATGATGATGATGACGATAGTAATAATTGATAATAATATTAATAGCAATAAAAAGTGAAGAAAATTGTGCTAAATGCGAAAAAAGTTGTGATTTGTTGATCATAATATAGTATATATAGTTAAAGCTTAGTAAGCTATAGTTAGGCCTAAGTTGTCCTGGATATTAAGTAGATCCATGATAAAAGATAATGAGAAATTTGTTGGCGTTTCATTTTGACTATAATAGTGATGTGATGATGAAGAATTATTTTACTATATAAAAGTGTCATTTCTGGACATCGCGAGAAGTACTATTTCCTCAAATTTTCTCACTTCAGCCCCAGTCATGGTGGGGCTGAGGTGGTTGTGAAATCACGTTTTTGAAGTAGGCCTATGTAAAGTACATACTCAAATACAATGTTTTTAAGCTTTGTTTTCTGTGGTATATCACACACACATTAATAAGATCTCTATGGTTGTCAAAAATCCCTGATAAAAGATCATGAGAATTTTTTTTTTTTGGCGTTTCATTTTGACTAATGGTGATGTGATGATGATGAATGTTACTAAAAGTGTCATTTCTGGCCATCTAGAGGAAATTTCCTCAAATTTCCTCACCTCAGCTATAAACCATGGTGTTGCTGAGGTGGGTGTCGACTTACAAAATGCCCTCCCCCTCCACCTTTCAAAACAGATCTGTGCCCTTCCCTGGGTAT